CAAAGTTCTAAGCTAATCGACCTTAGTGTTCTCCTTTTTAAAAAAGAATCGATAAAGAATCGAATCGTTAAACAGAATCGAAAATGGAATCGGAATCGTGAAAATCCTATCAATACCCATCCCTACCTATGACTCTGTACCGTATTTTCTGGACCATAAGGCACATTGTCGATGGAAGGGTCTGTTTTCATACATAAGGCGCACCGAAGCAAATTAAGCGAAACAAAACAATCAGATAAGTCAAACTTAACTCAGCTCATTCTTCTTGCTTCCTCCACTTCCTTAACATTGATTCATTAATGCTGAATTCTTTCACAGCTGCTCAATTCCCATGTTGTTGCAGTATATTAATGACTAACCTCGTATTGTGGATGAATTATCCCAGTTGTTCACCTGACTGAAGTTTGGTCCGTTTACAGCATCCTGCCATGCGATTGCATTTGTCCCTAACAATCAGGAACCTTCATGTTAGATTTTATCAAGTGGAAAAAAGCTAGCGTTCATCCTCCAGCTTCACCATGGTTATGTTATGCTAACATAGCTGTGTCGTTACCAATCACATAGCACATCATTATATACCAGCTAGTCCAACTTCAGTAACCCTGCAAAAGTCACTGCTGTTTAGTTTTCTGTGATCATTTTTGCTGGAGGTGGTAGCAGAGCTGTACGTTTGAATTTTTTCACAAATCTCTCAGTCACAACATGGTATATCATGTTTAGGTGGAAACTAGCGAGCTAACTTCCTACTAACTTCTAACTCCATTAAATTTAATAAATTTTGTTTTCATGGGTGCCTGGATGTTAAACTTAGTTGTTAAACCTGGTAAAGCACCAATGCTGATCATTTTATTAAAGATGAAAGAATCTAGACAGTTTTTAACTCTCAGTGATCCAGCAGTGTTCATTTGACTTTGGGACCTGAAGCCGAAGGAGTTTTGGACCCTGATTATATGGCAAGGCGCCTGACTACCAGAACACAACCAGAATTCACACATACACACGATTTTTCTGAAAATTAAAAGATTTTAAGTGCCTTTATATTGTGCTGAAAATATGGTAAGTCAAAAAGGCCACACCGTTAATACTTCAAACTGAAGTCCTAATACAATTCAAATAGGCGAGTGGCTTTATATTGTTGTGGTTTACACCTTTTCTTGGAAATCTATGTGCACAAATCTAGCTAAAGATAAAAAAAATTTTTTTTTTTTTTTTTAAATTTTTTTATGAAAAACAAATTAATAAAAAACTTATTAAAAGTTGGGCTACAACAGTTGTATTGATGTATAGCATCTTGAAATGCTCCCAAAAATGGCTCCACAGCATGTAAAAATATAAAGTAAGCTCTGGCATTCTTGGTTCTATGGTAGGTCTTAAAACTTTAATACATACATATACATACTATACATCAATACAACCATCATAGCCCAAATTTTAATAACATGTCTGCATTAAGTGCATAGTAATTATATAAATTGCAAAAATGTGCAATAAACTACAAAAAAATTGAAAATCGTTTTTGTTTTTTTAGTTAGAGAAATTTAAGAGGCTTATCCCTCAAAACCGTAAATAAAAAAAAGTTGCACAAAATAGTTTCCCACCACAGGAAATTTATTTTGAGTGTCTTCA